ATTTTCCTACCAAATTTCTTGTTTTGTGTACGATATTTTCCATTCTATTACTGTTTCCAAGACATTTTGTTTCCCCTCGATAACTACCCCTTTCTGTACTGCTTGTGGACCGAGTTAATACTGCAGTGCCACATCTAATCATTGAAATACAATCTCCTGCTTTTATCTATAGTAGATACTGTGATTAAAGCACAGAAGCAAGCAAGACTCCTTCACCTTGCTTATTAGCTTATATTTTGGCTATAGGTTGGTGGAATTACTAACCGTTGGTTTATGTTATACGGAATGATTTAGGTCTCTTAGGTAGGTTTTGGAATAATCTAAGGTTGGAAACTAAGTTATGGCTCGAAGTCATCAATACTGTTGCAGATGTATTCGTCCTTAATCTTCCTCTTGTTCGTAAGTAATATCATTCTCTTTCTCTTCTTTAATCAGTTTCGCTCCCACTACCACTACTATTAGCACCACTATTTTTACTCATTTGTTTTTCTACTCAGTGGTTTTCACTCACCCTGCTGGTTTGACATTTAGTAATTCAAAACTATGCATACTTGTGCTGCGTTCCACACTTCTACCTATCTTTTTCATAACAAGTTTGTGACCCATGTTTAAGTAATATTCATTTTTCTTACAGCCGATCTCTCTGATAAAAGAAGACGCGGACAAATCTCATTGTGGATTCAATTATTAGCAATCAAAGTATCTCCAGCTCTTTACAATCAGCTAACACCAAATGCTACGAGAAAAGATAGTTTCATTTTGCCATCTCATGTTGAAAAAATGCAAGAAAACAATAGACCCTTTAATTTAAACGGTCAAGATGAGCGAAAGCCAGGACATCTTCAAAGGTAAACTATTCATACTCTAAAATTATGTTTTTCTAGACACACCATCAATTAACAGAATGATATTAACCGGCTAATCGTTTTTCACTTACTGTTTATTTCAGGGAATTTGGCTACTGTTTTTAAGTGGCCCGTTTGTGAAACTGCCTCTTGACGAAGCGTCTGAGCATATGTTCATTAGTTTATAGGCTAACAGGGCTGTCGAACTGTAGGGTTTTTATGGATATAATGGGACTCAAACTCGTGACCTGATAATTAACAGATAAGATTGTTTAAGTGACTGAGTTATGAAACGATATTTTTTTTTACTGTACTAGTTAAAATATCTCAAACCCAGCTGTCAAATAATTCTTCTTACTGAAAAGTTTCCAGTTGAGGTTAGACTAATGGGCTTTATTCTTATATAGTTACTGATATCGAAATGCTCATTAATAGATATCAGCGCTTGAAGCTTTCTCCTTATTTCTTTCGATTAGTGTCACTGGTCTATAAAATCGTGTAAAAAACTAATCTTGTCGTAATCATGTTTGACTTCATATCTTTTAACTAAAGAGAACTGTGTGTATGTTTATGTATCAGATGGGAAAATATCTGTGGTTAATATAATTATCATTGTTTCTAAAAAAATCAATCTATATCTCTGAAGAAATTACGTTCCAGTATATCACACATGTAATTCATACCTTCTACAACTGTCGTAGCAACATCTAATTATATTTACAGTTAATAAAAGTCAGTTTTTCAAAACAATGGATTTTTTTCCAAGAAAACTTTCGATAATAGTTAACTATTTCGGTTGTTCTGGCTTATTCAGATAAACCCTTGATTTTTAAGGAATATTACAAAGATTATTATCATTAATAAACTAGTATCTGACAACTTCTACGAACTCATGTGAATTGGCCTGCTACCTGTCTACGATTTTCTTTTACACCTATATTCAACTTATTTGCATGGCTATTTTAAAGTGAACTTCTACCATGCTCCAGAATCTTTCTCTCCACGATTCAATAGATAAACATTTATTTCATACTGTGCACAGCTTATAATCGAAGATATTCTGTTAGCTGTAAAGTCTAATAAATAACCACATCTTCATTTTGTTCCTTAGGTTACCATCTTTACCTATATGGATAGACCATACCACCACACCCAGACTAGCTACAAATACTAACCAGTCAAATATGGATTATGTTAAGCCAGCAGAAAATACTATCAAAAGTGCCCGTAATCAGTGGATCAAACTGCTCTTACCTCTGGTCTGCTGCTTACGCCAATCAAAATCATCAAATAAAATGTCTCCAAAAAATCCACCTGTTGATGGTTGTACAAAATTTAACCTGGCCAACAATGAGACATATCGGGATATTAGCTTACATCAGAATTCATCAAAAGATGATTCTAAATGTCCAATTATTAACAGTGCAGATGACTACAAAACTCGAATGGTCAGTCGAGCTATACTGGACAGTAAATCCGTACAGTTTTATAATACAGTTCTTGAGAATGGTTCATCACTACGTGATGCAATCGTTAAATACTTAGAGCAGTCATCCGGTGTTCTTGTATTAGACTGCAAGTTAGGCCGTTTTTCGCAGACCTTCAACAGTAATAGTATGGCTCCGGAATCAGTATCTGCACTGTGTGTGATACTAATCGCTACTCAGTCGGAAATAATCAAACGGCTATCTGAGGACTGTAGTTTGCATTCTTCAGAAACCAAACCTTCATCAACAGAGGTCAATAATTACTTACGACTTCCTGTAGTAAAAACACTTCCAAGTAAACTTACGCTAACTTCCAAACTTGCAGATGATCTTGCTACTGTTCTCATTCGTGCAGGTGCATTATGTCAATTAGAGTTGCAAAACTTACGACTTTCAGTCACACTGGATCCAAAAGAAGTCCAACTAGCTATCAAAGAACTTATGGATTTGGAAGAGTAATCACTACTAAACTCAAAAGACCATAACTTAAAAAACTGCCAAACACTTTGTTATGAGCTGTGATATACTTTGATGTACACTGATCCCTTTTAATTACTAGTTGATTACCCTCATTACGACATTTTTGTCGTGTCTTCCAGTTAACGCATTTCACTGATGTGATTATAATCATGCCAGTTTACACTGATTTATATTCTTCCTATTGTTTCTTCTGATTTTTTCCTTACTCTGTTTCTGCTAATAGTCGTTCCTATGCTTTGAAACTTTCTAAAAATAATCATGTCCTTAAAAGACTTGTAAATCCTCAAATAATTAAAAACATATGAATGTGGGTAAGTATTTTAGTAACTGGTCTAGACTGAAGGAAGTATAAACTCCACAATATCTAGAAGTGAGTATAACGTATGATGTAGCTGCACAAACATCTTGATGTTATGCACTTCATACTCAGTATTTTTAATGCTAACAAACAATTTGTATTGAATGTCAGCAGGACCATTGTAGTTTTCCTTATAATTCTAATGCTAATCTACACTGTTAGTTTGATAAAACAATCATGTAAATAGCTCAGATTATTAGCACAATAAATTAAAGCAGAATATAGCACGATTTAATTTAATCCACTAATATACATATGCCAATATTCTACTGTCATCAGGAGTTGAACTAGCTTACGAGTTGTAATATTGCCCCAGCAAATGATAATCGACTGAACTTTATGCAGTGCTACATTCAGAAAGGTCCCGTTCAAAGGATTCGGGTCGACTCATAGTGGTAGATTAATGTCGCACATTATGAGTTATAATTTTCTGACTGGATATCAACAATGCCATGCACTTTCTCATGATCCGAGTGACATCCGGAAAATCAGTAACTATTATTTGACGGTGAATTCATTATAAGAGAAAGAAGTATTGCTCCAACTTGGTTCAAAATCTGGATTCAAAGATGCGAGTAAACATACTCTTGAGACGTAATTATTGCTAATTTTTACTTGGGACTGCGATATCCGTCTACGCTATCGTGAAAGTTTATTGCAAATTGCTTGTTGGAAAATTGTTGCTTAGCATTTAACGATAAATTCATAGCAGGACCTGATACATGTTAATTATCAAATTGTTTACATTCTATTTCAAACGACAAACATACACTACATTTGTTCAATTAAGCAGACAGATCGTTCTCATCATGATAATTGGGAAACAAAATCCTGCTTTATGTCCCGGTATTAAAAGGTATATAAAGTATCCTGTGGATTCAAATCAGACTACATTGAAGAAATCATATGCCTCCAATCTGTTGTCTCAACAAATCCTGAGGCTGCTACTCACATTTAATAATTTAATGATGACATGATAGCTGTCTCGAAAATATATAAGGTGCTAGATGGGTAGGGGATATCCTGGATTTAACAATAGTAAGCGAGATCCTGTTCTCTAGTAGGATTGCCACCTTTAGGGTTACATAACAAACACACTTGTTAGGAAATTACAGTCGAGAAAAATTGATCTCCCCTGACTTCTTGATACCTTGCATAAAAAATCAATGGTCATTCGCTAAATAAATAGTTTAGACATTGTACAATTTTCGAAAGTTCCGTGTAACACAAGCCGCCCAGCTTCCTGTCCTTTCCAAAGTGTATTACGTACTCCTGTTGCAAATCATTAACTGACAAAATACATTATCACTTTACCGGTCGGTAACAATCGATTTGACCCTCTAAACATTAGCCGCATACTGGCCAGTTCAACAACATAGGCCAGATTTATGAGATTTGAGGAATTTGCCTACCTAAAATAGGTCTGCTTTACCACACCAGTAACAAACTAACTAGCTTTCATAATAAAACAGCCTTGTATTATTCAAATGATTAAGACATGACCATTGAAATCGGCTATTGTTGTTGGTACCCAACGAAGTGTCAGGTAAATGTTTATGTACAATAAAATTTTTAGCTTCTCACCATACATAAAATGAATCCTAATTACGAGTATTAATGGGAAATTGACAGTTTTAATAATGCGGTCATTTAATGAACTCGTACTACGTGATAAATCACTTAGCAATAAATTGTAGAGAAACAGGAAATCTATTTCATGAATAATTAGTCAGTCCATAAAAGATAGTAAACTTCATATGAAGTTATCCTATTTCTTGTCTTTTATTGTTTCAAATTATTTATTAATGTACATTTTTAGAATACAATTAAATCTGATAGTAATAATAATTTATTAAATATAGAAATCTGTTTCTCAATAGAAATAAAAGTCATACTGGCAAGGATTTGATAATTGTACAAAAATGGATGAAAAAATACATACATGTACATGATATTTATATACATATATGTGGCTTATGGCAAGTTTATCTGTAATAGAAATGCTGTGAAAAAATGACGAAAATATTTAGTCGTAACTAACTATCCTTGGAAACGTTGTTGCTTTTGTTGGGATTACTAGTTCACGTGGTCGTGGTCGGAAAGAAAGACGGTCTTTTCGAAAATTCAAGTCCATACAGCCCAATGTTCCATCGTAACGATTTTTAACTACCTGATTTATTCGAAAAAAATATGTATATGTATAACGATTAGTTAATCGGTAGTTTCTGAATGTTTATGCAAACTATAGTAAATATTTGTCAATCATTATATGTGACACGGTCGTAATAAGAAGCCTCAAGGTCAAGGGCACAAAAACATTTGTTATGAAATATCAGCCAATAGGATGCTGATTCAAATATGCGATAATGTACAGTTTAAGGTGTGCTTTTATCTACTTTTGTACAAATTTATTTGCCAGTCTTAAATGGTAAACAGCTATATATATATATATATATATATATATATATATATATATATATATATATATATAACGCAACGCATAATTACTCTCATGTAACTCATCTATGAAACATAGTTTTCAGTATTTTTCTTCGAGTAAAACTTTTCATATAAAGCCTAATAATAAGTCATTGACTTGCTAATCTTGTATTATTGTGGTAAATTTGAAATCTACAAGTCAATGGTTAGAAACTACGCATTCCAACAATTAAATTACCACTCTACAATTAGATTTTTGAATAGATATACATAAGTTAATATCAGGAGAAATTCATTTCATATTGAAATAGTAGAAGTAAATCCGTATTAAAATATAATTGTCTGATAAAAAAAAATTAATCAATATTATTTCTGTCCCATCAAACTCTCCTCGAGATGAGTCACTACATACAAAAAAAATTGAGAAAGAAATAGGATAACATTTAAAACATTTTGTTTTTACGGTGTCGATTAAAAAAAGAAAAGAACTGGCTGGTGAACTGATATTTAATATTGATCATTAAAGTATAAAAAAAAGGATGAGAAACTGTGAGAAAGTCTCGAATATCCATCATATTAGTTTTAAATAAAAAAAGAGTATAGTTCATGTTAAAACACTTATCTTGGTACTACTTTTGAAATATTGAAATTTTTGAGTTAATAGCGACTATTATAAATAAATAGTTTGATAGATTACTATAGTAATATGATCGAAATACATGACTATGTAAATCTAAATGTCTCTAAATATAATGATTCACTTAGTTGAAATCATGAGTCAGTTGAAGCTAGACCACCATTGAAAACCTGGAAGCACTGGACGGCCGTTTCGTCCTGATATGGGACTCCTCAGCAGTGCGCATCCACGATCCCGCACCACACGGGGCTCGAACCCAGGACCTACTGGCTTCGCGCGCGAGCACTTAACCACTAGACCACTGAGCCGGCATCCAACGGTGTTAATGTCTAACTTCAACCAATCCACGAAGTTGCGCCACCGTACACCATTGTCTTCAGTGAGTTGTTATCTCACAACAGACCGGTTGAACTCCACTGGTAACGGCTTCTCACTAGAACTTCAGGAGTTTTTCCTGAAGTCAGTCACTAGTGAGCAGTTGATTATTATTATCAGAATGGGTTTTGTGGAGAATTTTAGAAATTTTCACAAGTTGAAATCATGAGTCAGTTGAAGCTAGACCACCATTGAAAACCTGGAAGCACTGGACGGCCGTTTCGTCCTGATATGGGACTCCTCAGCAGTGCGCATCCACGATCCCGCACCACACGGGGCTCGAACCCAGGACCTACTGGCTTCGCGCGCGAGCACTTAACCACTAGACCACTGAGCCGGCATCCAACGGTGTTAATGTCTAACTTCAACCAATCCACGAAGTTGCGCCACCGTACACCATTGTCTTCAGTGAGTTGTTATCTCACAACAGACCGGTTGAACTCCACTGGTAACGGCTTCTCACTAGAACTTCAGGAGTTTTTCCTGAAGTCAGTCACTAGTGAGCAGTTGATTATTATTATCAGAATGGGTTTTGTGGAGAATTTTAGAAATTTTCACAAGTTGAAATCATGAGTCAGTTGAAGCTAGACCACCATTGAAAACCTGGAAGCACTGGACGGCCGTTTCGTCCTGATATGGGACTCCTCAGCAGTGCGCATCCACGATCCCGCACCACACGGGGCTCGAACCCAGGACCTACTGGCTTCGCGCGCGAGCACTTAACCACTAGACCACTGAGCCGGCATCCAACGGTGTTAATGTCTAACTTCAACCAATCCACGAAGTTGCGCCACCGTACACCATTGTCTTCAGTGAGTTGTTATCTCACAACAGACCGGTTGAACTCCACTGGTAACGGCTTCTCACTAGAACTTCAGGAGTTTTTCCTGATGTCAGTCACTAGTGAGCAGTTGATTATTATTATCAGAATGGGTTTTGTGGAGAATTTTAGAAATTTTCACAAGTTGAAATCATGAGTCAGTTGAAGCTAGACCACCATTGAAAACCTGGAAGCACTGGACGGCCGTTTCGTCCTGATATGGGACTCCTCAGCAGTGCGCATCCACGATCCCGCACCACACGGGGCTCGAACCCAGGACCTACTGGCTTCGCGCGCGAGCACTTAACCACTAGACCACTGAGCCGGCATCCAACGGTGTTAATGTCTAACTTCAACCAATCCACGAAGTTGCGCCACCGTACACCGTCCCATATCAGGACGAAACGGCCGTCCAGTGCTTCCAGGTTTTCAATGGTGGTCTAGCTTCAACTGACTCATGATTTCAACTTGTGAAAATTTCTAAAATTCTCCACAAAACCCATTCTGATAATAATAATCAACTGCTCACTAGTGACTGACTTCAGGAAAAACTCCTGAAGTTCTAGTGAGAAGCCGTTACCAGTGGAGTTCAACCGGTCTGTTGTGAGATAACAACTCACTGAAGACAATGGTGTACGGTGGCGCAACTTCGTGGATTGGTTGAAGTTAGACATTAACACCGTTGGATGCCGGCTCAGTGGTCTAGTGGTTAAGTGCTCGCGCGCGAAGCCAGTAGGTCCTGGGTTCGAGCCCCGTGTGGTGCGGGATCGTGGATGTGCACTGCTGAGGAGTCCCATATCAGGACGAAACGGCCGTCCAGTGCTTCCAGGTTTTCAATGGTGGTCTAGCTTCAACTGACTCATGATTTCAACTTGTGAAAATTTCTAAAATTCTCCACAAAACCCATTCTGATTCACTTAGTGTTGTTTTGCTTGAATCTTCCCATTGTGATTTAAAACTGCAATTGATCATTCTGTTATTAGCATATAAACATACTGTGCGTATTGCCTTAATTCACAAGCTTTATAAGCAAAGATGGATAGTGGCTAGCAGTGGAATCCAGGATGCGCGTTTCGTCCTATTTGGGACTCGTCAGCTGGATGTACCTGCGAGCCCCAAATAGGACGAAACGCACATCTTGGATCCCATTACTAGCCACTATCTATCTTAAGTATAATGATGTTTCTAATACATTCAATAACATCGTCAGTTATTAGCAAGACTATCATACAATTAAACTTACCATTCATTTGAGTTCAAAAATAAAACTGAATGCAAAATCTGTATGTTATTGAGTAATTATAAGTCGATAGGTCAACCGCTAAACAAAACCAAGAAAATTATTTCCCTAATACTGAAGGATAACACGAAAGATTGTTGTACAATCGTATTAAATGTAGTAAGCATCTAATTGAATAGTGAACTACATCAACAATGTAATGACAATAACAATTCTATCAAGATTAATAATGAAACTTAATAACTAGTGATATAATAACTTAAAAAGAAAAAAAAGACTAGTGAATAATGTACACCTTTCAATATAAACCGTTATAGAACTATGCATATCAATTTACAATTGTACAAACGGTCAAAAGGTTTATATTCTCGATTCTAATTATACACAATGGGAAATTTCGCTAACTGAAAAAAGATGTAACTCGTGCTCAAAAACTGATAGTTGTAGAAAGTTTTATTTATTTATTATTTTTCTTCTTGGTACTGCTAACCAATTACACGTATAACAGTATAATGAATGATAGAACAGTTGAAAACAAATTCATAGAACTTGTAACAATAATCAAGATTGGTTTCATCATATAATAACGATGAATAACATTTTAAACATGATACTACTGATATCACATATCAGAATCAATTGTACACAAAATGTAAATAAGAGAAAAAATGGACGAATGAATCTCACAGGAAATTTTCATTTCAACAAACAAAATAAATAATAAGCGTGGAGTTTATCATTATAGATTGATTATCACCTGGAGGATTTGTGAGAACTAGATACAGCTTGCATCATGACAACACGAAAGTATCTATGTCAGTAGTGTGTGTAGACGCACTTCTGAGTGAGTTTAACAGCCCCACCCTCATTCTTGTTACACAACCTACTTATACAAATTTATTCTGATCTGAACAGATATAAAAGCATACAATCATGTGACTAATAGATGCGTGTCATTTTTATCCTGCTGTTAATAATTCAGTACTTATTTCTCATAAACCATGCCCTTTAATAAAAATACACTTTCTAAATTTGTCCGTTTATCTACTTAGTGTACTAAATCTATGATCATATATAAACTGAATCATAAGTGATTCAACGATTTGGTTACCAAGTTAAATTCACAATTATCCTAACTGCCGGTTAACATTTCTAAAATACACATAATTCTAATACATTTAATATTCGACGTTTGAAGCGAACGGTACTGGGTTCGAGCCCCAGAGTGGACATCAATCCTGAGATGCAGGTACATCCAGCTGACGAGTCCCAAACGCGCGTCCTGGATTTCACTGCTAGCCACTATCCATCTTTTGCCCCCTGAATGCCCTGGTACGGCCGAGAGTGGGGAAAGTCCGCTCTCCCTCTCGAAATACTCTCACACGGCCACGCGTATACAGCCTCTGCCAGGGAAGTCCTACTCATTGCCTTCTCGTGGCGGGGGTGTTGTTTACGAAAATGAGAGGACGAAAAGCGAATGTCCGGCGCTTTAACCGGATTCCAAATCAATGGTGTACATGGGCTCCAGTATCCTGCGGGAACAAATGGCGTATGAACCAATCGTCGGTCACCGGCTTCCATGAGACTGCATCTCCTTACGATGCTCCACTGCCTTGTGGGTTAGACCTTTAGGTCAAAGGCTCGGGGAGTGGCCCCCTA